AAAAAAATCCCCAAGCCATGATGATTTCGTGAGATGGTGCGTTATCCAATGGGCATGGACAGACCCTGGGTGGCTCCCGGGGGCTTGCACTTTTGGCTAGCAGTAGGACCCAGTCCGGTTCTCAGTAAAGACTGTGAGCTGAGCTGTTGGCCCATGTCTTGAGCCTCCTTTACTTCACACCATGCACATGTCCCTCTGTTCCACACATCTCTCAGAATCTGTAGTGCTATCCTGACACCCCATTAGATTGAGACTCCCATGGCTCTCCTGCTAGTGACATGTGACATGTTGTACACGCTTCTGGTGATACGCGCTTGGGAAATCATGCCATTGGCCATCATGCCAAGTGCAGCAGTTCGTGCCTGGGACCTCGTCTGGGGCTTTCTAGTTGTATTCTTTCTTCATCTCATTTCTACTTCTCCACCAACTAGCTCTCCTTCATCAGCAGCTTGAGAATTTTGAAAGTCCAGCTAGTAAAGGCAGAATAAATGTTCTTCTCCCCTGCTACAAGTATTTTGAGGTGAGTAAGTTGGTTCTTTAACATCCAACTAGTATATATTGGTCTTCCATGGGGCCCAGTAACATACTTTGTTTTCCTCTTTCCCTCATCTGACGACTAGAATTATTACTATATGGATTTCCATACATTTGATATTTTAATCCATTCAAGCTTTTACTCTTGAAGGTGGTGAAATTTTGGCCTTCTAGTCCAGGGAAACACCTTGAACTGGTGTCTTCAGTTCTGACACCACTGGCATCATCTCTGATCATTTTTTTCACCCTCTGGGATCATAGGATGTTCCTGCCCCGGAGACCAGTTTCCTTCTGAAGCTCGGGGAGTTCCATGTCTCTCAGAGCTTCAAGCACTAACCCTGCTTATAGACACTTTCTCTGTAGTTTATAGTTCTGAGCAAAATATTTTCAAAAATAAAATGCACCATCAGCTTCTCTGATATTTCCAGCTCTTCTCGCAGCTCTAGGACCTTTCTGGACCTTTCCTCTCCACGTCTTTCTCTTTTCTCCATACCCAGAATCCTGTGTCTGCAGATGCAGGAGCATTCCTCTGCCTTTCCTCAAGGCACACCTTCTGTGTTGCTGTAGAACAATGGCTTCAGGCAACCGTAGTTGCTTTGGATTATTGAAAACCTTTTGAGATGACTCTTTTCTCTTGTTTTAGTCCTTTTTACTGGGAAATTCTTGAAGAATCATTGCCCTTACAGTCACTTGAAGTAATTTCCTTCCACGTAATTATTCCACCAATCCCAAGGTGATTCAATTTCTTTTATTTAAATTTGCTTTTATTTTTTAATTGTATTTATTTATTTATTTGT